TTTTTTTTTTTTTTTTTTTTTTTAGGTTATAAGAATCTTTTCGTCATTAAGGCCATGCCCATCACTTTACTTCAAACTTCTCTCCAGTTAAACAACAATGTATATTTCTAAAATGTTTACATCAAGATCATTGCCTTCGACACTGCACCCCACCCCCTGGATTATGATGTCACTTGAATAATCCTATTTCGTGAAGAAAACAATGACACAATACACTTAATAATAGCGTAACCATTTGCATTAAAGATATACATTTTCATAAATATAAGCAGTACAATAATTATATTATTACAGCGCCAGTTACCAAAACAATGTTTTTTAAATATTTAGTCAAAACGTCTTTGGGATAACTTTGGTCCTTTATCATATTTGTCCCCTTGTAAAAGGTGGAGTTGGGTAAATGGTCTAAGGAGTCTACTGGTAACTATCGGATACATTAGACGTTACCTCAAAAGGAATTTATCTATCTATCATGTGAAGGCGGCTTACAACTTTCCTATTGATGGAACCTTATTATCACTTGCTGGTCACACGAAAAGGAATTTCGGGATCTTAGTTTTAATTTCCTCTAATGATGTCTTCTATGAAACTAACCAGTTGATATTTGTTTGCCGACACACTTGTACACTTAAATGAATAAGCTTTGGTTTTGGGTAACCTATCCTGCTAGATTCTGCTTTATTGCAATTTAGATTCGGTGTCTTTATTATCTTGTATTTTTCTTCTTGTTTTTCTAAAGTCTTAACATCCAGTGCTGTAATGTTCGCGTAGCTCACTAGGGTCTGAGATGTTAAAACTGTTCGAAGCTACTCTAATCTCGTGTCTGATTCTGTGTGAAATGTATTCCCAAAATGCACCCTTCCTCGATGTCATTTATCTTTATATCATGTGAAGGCGGCTTACAACTTTCCTCTTGCTGGAACCTTATGATCACTTGCTGGTCACAACAACTCATTTTCTTGCTTCGTCTCAGGAGGCAATGCTCCAGCTTTCATTATCATATCAGGTCGAACAATGTTAGCTGTAAAATCATTGTTGATCAACCTGATAAAACAATGGTTGCTGTACAATCATTGTTGATCAACCTGTTAAAACAATGGTAGCTGTAAAATCTCTGTTGATCAACCTGTTAAAACAATGTTAGCTATACAATCATCGTTGATCAACCTGTTAAAACAATGGTAGCTACACAATCATTGTTGATCAGCCTGTTAAAACAATGGTAGCTACACAATCATTGTTGATCAACCTGTTTAAACAATGTTAGCTGTACAATCATTGTTGATCAACCTGTTAAAACAATAGTAGCTGTACAATCATTGTTGATGAACCTGTTAAAACAATGGTAGCTGTACAATCATTGTTGATGAACCTGTTAAAACAATGGTAGCTGTACAATCATTGTTGATGAGCCTGTTAAAACAATGGTAGCTGTACAATCATTGGTGATCAACCTGTTAGAACAATGGTAGATGTACAATCATTGTTGATGAACCTGTTAGAACAATGGTAGCTGTACAATTATTGTTGATGAACCTGTTAAAACAATGGTAGCTGCACAATCATTGTTGATCAACCTGTTAGAACAATGGTAGCTGTACAATCATTGTTGATCAACCTGTTAAAACAATGGTAGCTGTACAATCATTGTTGATGAGCCTGTTAAAACAATGATAGCTGTACAATCATTGGTGATCAACCTGTTAGAACAATGGTAGCTGTATAATCATTGTTGATCAACCTGTTAATAGATTTTTCCATCAATGAATATATAAAATATTTATTTATCTCAAGTAGAGCAGATGACGTGTTCACATTCTCAGGTTCTCATTTCCTTATTCATTACCACCAGTCGAGTATCACAATCTCAGATGTACTGTTTATATTTTCAACACTTAAAACTATTTTCTTCTCCTCTCATCGCTCGAATTTGGTTTTCATTTTCTAAAGACTTTGGTTTGCAGAGCCCAGCAATGTGTCCTTTTAAATTTTAATTGAAATACCTTCTCTCCATGGTTTACTTCTTCCATTTGAGTTCACAATTGTCAAACCAATCCATTGCGCTTTAACACCACTATATGAAATTAATGTTTCTGCACCATCTAATCTAAGCAAGCCAGTAATTCCTGGATAGTGCTTTTAGTAGTTTGTCTGTGACTTTAATATATTATAGTTCAATCAGCAACTGAACAGGTTTCTTGAAATATGTACATCACTTTGCTTTAGTCTCTTTCGTCGACTATGCTGTCTACAAATTGTTTCCGTGACAACGAATCCGTCATTTCATTTGAAATATCTGGATATCATAATCTTGTCTATTCGTCTTCCTCTGTCTGCAGACTTTACTTTAAAAACTTTCTTCGGGTGTAACATTCAAATCTGTTTGATCAGACAGCCACTAATGTCTTGTAGCTGTTACAGTTGGAAATTGCTATTACAGTTAATACTTTAAAATATGATACATAGCTTGATGTCCACTACTCAATCCATTAACTTTGGAAATTACTTAAAATTGTACCTGATATGCCTTTCCATAATATTTGTTGGGTTTACTACATCAATATTGTTTTTTATTCCTTGTTTACTGCATCAATATTGTTTTTTTATTTCATTGTTTACTACATTAATATTGATTGTTTATATTTCCTTGTTTACTACATTGATGTCCTTTTGTACTTCTTCGATTTTGTTGTTATATATTTCGGTGCGTTTTCTATGGTTTCTTCGATCTTGTATTCGATCAAATTCATTCTTGATTGAAAAATCTTCTATAAGTCTTATCACATTCTTGCAAATCCTCTCTTTAGATTTTTCTCTCTTCTTGACCTTCCTTTAACTTATTCTTGAGCTTTTAAATTTATGTTTCTCTTTTTTAATTTTGTCTGTTTCCTCTTAACCTTGTTTGCAGGGTTTCATAATTTCCATATCACTTTTTAAGCTCGGTCTATGCACATGTTGTCGTGTTTGCGTTCAGTCTGAATTAATTTTTACAAAATAATCCCACTCCTATCAATAGTATTGTAATGGATTTTATTGTTAGGCGGATACTACTGGATTATTCGTAAAAAGGATAACATAAAGTCCAGTTTACTTCAGAATAACAAAAAGTTTTATTTCTTCCAAATAAATCAACGTCCTCAGAGCTTCCCTTTATATACACACACACACATATCAATGACCCAAAGATTTTCAAAGTAATTTTGGTATTTTTCATTATTATTTTTTATTATTTAGACCCCAGCAAGATCTTCCGGGAACAGAATCAGAACAACAGATTGGTCAAGGTTTAAATTCTCATGATGTACTGCCCCAAAATTCACAATCCTCCTCAATCCAGCACTTCCACTGCCAATGTTCCGCATCTTCTGATGAGGGGATGGATGTTAACGTGACAAGATGTCGATCCGGTCTTCAAGACCACATCATCCTTGAAATTAGGATACGTGCCACATCCTGGGGTTCAGCAACTCCATCAGTCTATTTTCACAAGAACAAATGTCCAATCCACTCATGGGAAACCGATACAGAGAAAGGTGTACACACTAAAGAGGGAGCAACGCCAATATCCTCAAGTTTTCCGAGAGCATTTGACTTTTGTCATGCAGAAAATGAAAAAGTGTCCGACGGCCCCGGGGAAATACTCGTCCCATACATCTCTATAGAAAATAGCCCCCTACACAGGTGTGGTACTCATGGAAAGGCCTCGCTGGGTATTGCGGAGAAAATACTTGTTCCAGACATCTGTACAGAGAATAACTCCACACACAAATGCAGTCCTCATGGAAACGTCTCTTTAGGTGGAGATCATCTTTCTGCGTGCTCTCCGCAGGGCATTTTTTCTGATGTTCGTTTAAAGGTTGTAGAGAACACCTGGCCTAGTCATGAAAATCAAAATGAAAGAACCACTGCTGACAGATGTTCGCATCCACATGAAGGAGGATTACCAGTACCTTCACTACCACTTCCACCTCCTCCCAGAGGGCGTTCTTATAGTACGGGTATGCGTCCTTACAGGCGAAACCTTGAACTGTATACTTTAAGTCGACCTGCTGAAGTATGAGTCCATGACTGATAGAAATCCTTGTATATATAATGTGCTCCTACCTCCAGAAAATGTATATAATCAAGAAGAAGAGCAGTGAACTTTGAACAGATAATAATAAAACACCTGTATATTTGGAATGTCAAAATAAATTACCCAAACAGCCTCTAACTAGAATAGAATATAATTTGTAAGTGGTGTATTTAAGTGTTTTACACTCACAAAAAAAGAAACCCATCATTCTATAGGTATTTAAAGAACTTGTAGCATTTCGCCACAATTTAATTCTTCGTATTGTTAGCCGACACTTGAGCATATATTAATTATAAAGATACTTGTAATATTAGAATATACATAACTATACTAAAACACACTATTGCAATACACAAACCCTTAAAGGAAACAACAAGAACGCTTGAATATTCAAAATCTCTTCTAAAAACACATTGGAATACGTACAAACTCTATTACACACACTTGTAACCTTATTGTATACAAGATTAGTAAGAGTTGTTAATTTAAAAAGGGAGAATGGGGATCGTCAAAAACGTACACAAATAAGTTGAATCAAAATGCAAATATTATATTTTCAAGCCTAAAACTAGGGACTGTAGAAAAATTAAAAACCAAGGCTGGAATTACTGTCTAAATTATTTTCTAAAGCTACAAATCCATGTTTGACTCCGTGTCTGCAGTACTTATCAATTTTAGTGGAGTAAAAATACTAAACAGACTCAGTAACATGCTCACCTTGTTAGGTCTACATGACACATGTGTATGTTCTTCTAAAGTCCGGTGTGCACAAGTGTTTGTTAGAATAAGGCGACACGAATAATGTCATGCAAAATAGACAACAGCGACAGACTTAGCGTAAGTCGCCAATTATCGACAACATTTACAACTGTAACCTTAACACCAGCTATTTAAAAATAGCAATAGCTATATGAAACAATGCTATATGCAGTGGTGATAAATACTGAATACACGTTCACGGTTTCAGTTAAGTATAAAAAACAGTAAAAAGAATCACCACCGTCGTCTGAGTAGGAAAATCTACTATGGTGATGGTCCACTGTTAAAAAACGTAATGAAATTAGTCACGGAAATTCACGTAGAGACAGCAAACTTGAGTAACAATGAACAATAGTGACATAAGTAATGATGTGTAACAGCGGAACCTTTCACGTGGCAGTTTCCAATTAATACTCTAGAATATGCACGATTTGTAGGTTCCAAGTAATATGCTTGCTAGGAAAATACCAGATTTTTTTTATGCCAGAGAGTGAAGGACATAATAAAATTAAGAGATCAAATTAAGTTTAAAAGTGCTCTCTCGGTTGTTTTGCAAAATTCCTGTTTGATACTACACTGCAATAGATATCACTTGCAATAATTTTATAATACAGTCATAACAGGGATTTTTAGCTTGAGCAAACAGTCACCAGTAGATCTTCAGCCTTGTTTGCTTACTTTTATTTGCGATCCCTACTTGTAGATTTTAAATTCTCAGTTTTGAATAATCTTGTATGTTGGCTTTGTTAATACACAGCAATGGTCAAATATATACTTTAAGTAAGAAACAACCCCCACTAAACACGTATATCATTTTACCAGTATAGAAGCAGCCTTTTCAATATACGTCTAAAATATCGCTTTAAATAAAGCTTCGTGTCTTTTAAGGTTGTTATTTACTGAGCCAGGTTTTGTGCTTGGGGTTTTGTGTAAACACGCGTTTAACACGCGTCGAGTAAGGCAGCCGCTCCTAACGACATCGCATCTATTATGTATTTATAACCATGTAAATTAAGTTTCAGTGGAAAATAATCTACTTTTAGGTCGTGAACATTTACAGCGTTTCATGTAGTATATCTGTACAGGTTTTGGTGCAAAATACTCAGCCGATTTTACTGTAGGCTTGTAAAATAATAATATCAATATCATTAATAATGTGAATAAATGAGCAAATTTTGATTTTGTTATAATAATCGTGAAATCACGTATTTTCCTTATTATCGATGTTTGGGTGGTCTTAACTATTCAAAAGGAAGGATTGAGTGTTATTTCAAGAATACGTCTACTTTTTAAGGTGGCTTTTGACAGAACGTTCTATTAGAGTTTTGAGCAAATTCTTGAGCGATCCCTATTATGAATCACAATCGTGGTTCATGATATGTGTAACGATAAAAACGCTTGAATATACATAATATCTTATGAAACCACGTTAGACTATATATATAAACTCTCCTAGAAATACGAGTAGCGATATTGTATACATAAACTTTACAAGAAAAATGCTTGAATATATACAATCTCTTCTAAAACCACCTTAGAATGCATATAAATTTAAAAGTAGAATATTCATAAGCTTTACCAAAATACTCGGGTAACAGTACATTATACATAAAATCTCCTGCAAAGATATGTAATCATTAAATAAACCTAATCTCTTAAAAACACGGTAACGCTAGAGTATACATAAAAATCTACTAGTTCATAATTTTTTTTTACAATTATATTAGAAGCACTTGTAGTTTCATCATATTCGTAGAAATACGTTTAATGTTAGATTGTACATAAACTCTCTTAGAAACATGTGTAATGGTAAACTGAATGTAAACTCTACTAGAAACATGTGTAATGGTAAACTGTACGTAAGCTCTCTCAGAAACGTGTAACACTAGACTGTACGTAACTTTCCCAGAAACATGGGTAACGTTAGACTGTAAGTAAACTCTCTTAGAAACATGTGTAATGGTAAACTGAGTGTAAACTCTACCAGAAACATGTGTAATGGTAAACTGTACGTAAGCTCTCTCAGAAACGTGTAACACTAGACTGTACGTAACTTTCCCAGAAACATGGGTAACGTTAGACTGTAAGTAAACTCTCCAAGAAACGTGTATAATGGTAAACTGAATGTAAACTCTACCAGAAACATGTGTAATGGTAAACTGAATGTAAACTCTACCAGAAACATGTGTAATGGTAAACTGAATGTAAACTCTACCAGAAACATGTGTAATGGTAAACTTAATGTAAACTCTCCAAGAAACGTGTATAATGATAAACTGTACATAAACTCTCCTAGAAACATGAGTAACACTAACCTGTAAATAAACTCTCCTAGAAACATGTGTAATGGTAAACTATACGTAAGCTCTCTCAGAAACATGTGTAACACTATACTGTACATAAATTCTCCAAGAAACATATGTAATGCTAAACCGTACATAAACTCTCCCAGAGATATATGTAACGCTAGATTGTATGTTAACTCTCCAAGAAACATGTGTAATGCTAAGCTGTATGTAAACTCTCCAAGAAACATGTGCAATGCTAGATTGTACATAAACTCTCCAAGAAACATGTGCAATGCTAGATTGTACACAAACTCTCCAAGAAACACGTAATGTTAAAATGTGCATAATCACTCCCAGAAACATGGGTAACGCTAAACTGTACATAAATTATCCTAAAAAACATATGTAATGCTAAACTGTATATAAACTCTCCTAGAATCATGTGTAACACTAAACTGTACATAAACTCTACCAGAAACATGTGTAACACTAAACTGTATATAAACTCTCCTAGAAACATGTGTAACGCTAAACTGTATATAAACTCTCCTAGAAACATGTGTAACACTAAATTGTATATAAACTCTCCTAGAAACATGTGTAACACTAAACTGTACATAAACTTTCCTAGAAACATGTGTAATGCTAAACTGTATATAAACTCTCCTAGAATCATGTGTAACACTAAACTGTACATAAATTATCCTAAAAAACATATGTAACACTAAACTGTACATAAATTATGCTAAAAACATCTGTAACACTAAACTGTATATAAACTCTCCTAGAAACATGTGTAATACCGAATTGTTCATAAACTCTCCTAGAATCATGAGTAACACTAAACTGTACATAAACTCTCCTAGAAACATGTGTAATACCGAATTGTTCATAAACTCTTCTAGAAACATGTGTAACACTAAACTGTACATAAACTCTACCAGAAACATGTGTAATACCGAATTGTTCATAAACTCTCCTAGAACCATGAGTAACACTAAACTGTATATAAACTCTCCTAGAACCATGAGTAACACTAAACTGTATATAAACTCTCCTAGAAACATGTGTAATACCGAATTGTTCATAAACTCTTCTAGAAACATGTGTAACACTAAACTGTACATAAACTCTACCAGAAACATGTGTAATGCTAAATTGTACTAGAAATTTTCCTAGTAACATATGTAATGCTAAACTGTACATAAACTCTCCTAGAAACATGCGTAATGCTAGATTGTACATAAATTCTCTTAGTAACACATATAATGCTAAACTGCATATAAACTCTCCTAAAAAAACTGTAAATACACTCTTCCAGAAGCACATGTAACGCAGGGCTGTACATAAATGCTCTCAGAAACACTTATAATGCTAAACCGTACATAATATCTACTAAAAACACGTGTAATGCTGGGATATATATATAATTTCTAAAAACACTTGTAAAGTCAGAAAATATAAAACCTCTACTACAAGCCCTTGTAATGCTACAATATGCATAAAGTCTGCTAAAAAACGAGTAACTTAAGAATATATATATATATATAAACTACTAAAATATATGTAATAATAGAATATTCAAACTGTATTAGAATCAAGTATTAAGCTAAAACAACTTAAAATAATAATAAGGTTTTATTATGTTAACAAAATAAGTTAAATATTATAACGCTACGGTGTTATTATCTCTACCGGTATACCACGAAAATAACTTACAATGTTAATATGTTATTATCTCTACCAGTATACCACGAAAATAACTTACAATGTTAATATTTTATTATCTCTACCAGTATACCACCAAAATAACTTACAGTGCTAATATGTTATTGTCTCTACCAGTATACCACCAAAATAACTTACAATGTTAATATGTTATTATCTCTACCAGTATACCACCAAAATAACTTACAATGTTAATATGTTATTATCTCTACCAGTATACCACCAAAATAACTTACAATGTTAATATGTTATTATCTCTACCAGTATACCACCAAAATAACTTACAATGTAAATGTTATTATCTCTACCAGTATACATTCAAAATAACTTA